ATCGAGGAATAGGGAGGGATGCGGTTATTTTAGGATGATTGTCCCCGTGGCTTTGGAAGGGCAAGAGGCTAGTGGCAGACTCCAGTTAAGAGGCTGGGATAATACTGGCAAAAGGTACCACAGGCTTAAATGAGGGGAACAGGGAGGGAAAGGAGATCTGTCCAGACAGGAATAGGCCATGTCTGAGGAAGAGAGGGTGGCGTTTGCAGATTCTATGTTAGAAGAATACTGAGACTTTTAAAAACTCAAAAGCAAATAAGAAAAAAAAAAACAGGAAAATGAACAGGTTGTGGAGGGGGATAGTGATGTGCTCAGGGCTGAATTTGAGGGATGTTATGTGGAGATGCCTAGCCAGCCCAGGAGAAAGGACAGTGGGTGTGGGAGTTGTGTGTAGGTGGACCTCAAGTGTGGTCACAGCAGAACAGGGCTGCAGGTGAGCCAAGGACAGAGTATGGGACGATCCAGTGAGACTGTTTGACACGTGTCCTCTCATTGATCTCCCCTCAGAACACCCAAAGGCAAGTGGAACAGCTCTAATGGGGTTGAAGAAAAAGAGACTTGGATGGAAGAGGAAGAACTGTTTCCAGTTCAGGGTAAGCAGCATCTTCCTTGGCCTTTTTTTGATGCTTGCTGAAGTATAGATGTATGTTACTGTCATATTAACATTCCAGAATCTGCTTGTCTCCAGGCTAGAAAAAGTTTAATAAGTTCCTGATCTCATTTTGATTTATGAGGAGTCAGTTTTATGTCCTTTCCCATTAAACAATGGAGACCGTAAAAGCAAGACTTTTATTTTAAGGAAAATTCCTGATTTTGTTTTAATAACTCCTATGCTATTTAATTATTATTCCTAAAACCCTTTAATTAGATATGATAGTACAGTTCATTCTCTGCATTTCCTGTTTGAGTAAAAAAATCTCTTACCAGTTTCTATATATAAATATTTTTTTCTAAGATAAGAAACTTTTCCATAATTAATAACTTCACAGCATTTGCATTAGAATCTCTCCTACCACATATTTTATATTCTAATGGAAATAACTATTTGCCAAACCTTAATTTGGGGAGACTCTAAAGACTTTTTGTACCATGGCAATAGTAATCCTTTGCCAATCTCAAAGGTTTTGTCCTTGAAAATTACCTTCATTGGCTAAATTATAGTTGGCAAGATCAAGATCACGTGGAAAATGGAGGAAGTAACAGAAAAACAATAAAAATGACGTTAAACATTTTAAAACAACATGATATAAAAGTTCTAGAAAGTATCCACTTCCAATGCAGTCCAGTTGTATTAGCTTTAGAAATCTTCCAGCTGTAGTATGAAATACTTCATAATTTAAAAATAAGTAATGGCTAAGTGCTGTAGTTCATACCTGTAATCCTAGCACTTTAGAAACCCAAGACAGGAGGATCACTTGCTGCCAGGAGTTCGAAACCGGCCTGGGCAATATAGCAAGACCCCATCTCTAAAAAAAAAAAAAAAAAGGTAAAAATAAAAAATTAGCCAGGTGTGGTAGTGCTGCCTGTAGTCTTAGTTACGCAAGAGGCTGAGGCAGGAGGATCGCTTGAGCCCAGGAGTTTGAGGTTGCAGTGAGTTATGACACCAGCTCAGGCAACAGAGTGAAACTCTGCCGCAAGAAAAAAAAAGTTGGTTTTACTAAAAAGCCTAAAATCCATCATTAACCAGCATTTATTGACTGCCGATTATGAAGTACTTGCATTGTACAGATTCTCATGGGCTGAATGACTGGTATTTGTAAACAAAAGACAAACATTTATTATCCTTTAGTGATGTCCATTCTCTTCTCAATGTTTGTGAAATTTGAATCAAGTTTTCCCTTTGGGGACATTCTATATGTTTTTCTCGTGGTTTATACAGAGAAAGGTGATCTCTGAAATAAGTCTACTTTTAATGTTTTCCAGCAGCACCAGATGAAGATCATGCAACCACTGTAACAAAAAAGCAGGTAATTTAAAATTCTCTTTCCTGATACTGGTTATGTGGATAGAGCAGAGGTAAAATAAGCACCCCAGCTCATAAGCGTAGACTACCCATGTACCCAGTAAAAATCTTTTTTGAGATTTTCAGGTAGTTCAAACTAAGTTAAATTGATAGTTATTTTCTGGAAGAAAAACCCAGGAGGACAGAAGCCTAACATACTTTCCAGATAGGGAACAACATACACACATTTGAAGTCTGGAATGCAGAAGTGATTCTTAGTTGAGGATGAAATGGCAGGACATTGAGAATCATCAAATGTCCAGATCCACAGTGTTCATTATGCCATATTTTAAAAACATAAACCCTGCTTTGGGGTTCGGCCAATTCTCCTAGGATCCTTGAGTTTGCCTCTTCACTGTATTGGAGAGAAGGTACATAAGTAGAGAGAAAGGTTGTGATAAAACTTTTGGTTTTCTTTTGCAGAAGTGGACTGTAGAAGAAAGCGAGTGGGTCAAGGATGGAGTGCAAAAATACGGGGAAGGAAACTGGGTTGCCATTTCTAAAAATTACCCGTTTGTTAACCGAACAGCTGTGATGATTAAGGATCGCTGGCGGACCATGAAAAGACTTGGCATAAACTGAAACAGGCTTTCATTTCCACAGAATTCACAGGAGCATGGTTCCTAATAATAGCCCCTGATAGTCTGCTGTTTCTTTCAGAAGCTGGGCTGGGATGAGAATTTTGGGCAACCTCCTTCCACATGGGGGAGGTCCCAGTTCCACTTCATCATTGTCGGAGATCATGGAGCTAAGAAGCAAAGCCAAGTCCACCCATGTCCTTGGCAGAGATGACAGGCACACAGCTTGTACAGTGCCAGAATACCATTAGTGTTTCCCTTCCTTAGTGGTTTGCTTAAATTTAAATCCCTGGTAATCTGTAGAACCTTCTCCTAGAAAATGGTGGAGTCTATTAGGAGCCACTTATGACTCCATGACCTGTTAAAACCAGCAACATGAGCATTATTTGGAGTGAACTTGTTCACATGAAGTTTTGGCCTTGTGATGCAAATGCAAAGGAACTTTGTCTGTTGGGAGCCCGGGTTGATGGATGAGAGACCAGTCGTTGTGGACTGATAAGATTCCCTTTAAAAACGGTTTAGCCAGTTAAGACAACCCTAGACCTGACTGCCTTGGCGTTTGCTCTTAATATCTGCTGGGCTATGTAGGCAGGTTTATCCTCCACTTCTCATGTGGTTGAACCGGTGTGTTTTTTGGTAAAATGGTGATTGTAGATAAGCTTAGCCTCCCCTTCCCGCCCCCTGCCTCTTTTCCCAATTCCCTTCCTTATGCTGGTCTTTTGAAGCTTAAAAAAAAAAAATCCCGATTGAATATAAATGCCTAATTTCATTCTTTATGAAATGGTTGCTTCCACCCAATTCCGTAATTGTGCTGTGTTAGTGTCTTGCACTGCAATTCGACATTCCCTTCTCCTTTTGTACTGTGTTGTGCTTGCTGTCTCTCTTGGACATCCTTAAAGACTGTCTTTTTAGCAAAAAATTTCAGTAAGGTGTTTTCTGTAATCTTTTTTTAAAATATGAGAACTAATCATTGTCCATACTTGTAGCATTCTTCATTAAAGTCTTGCTTCTCTCAAATTTAAGTAGCTGTTTAATTGCAGCACAACACGTATTCACAGATGCAGGTAGCCAAAGGTTGAACAAACTTTGCTGAACGATTTGATCAAGAAGCTGGTGTCAAACTGTATTGGATGCTGTGATCCTTGGAAGCTGTGTCAAACAGATGATGTCGAAGTTTCTTCTTCATTTGTCCCTTACCTCGTATAACATAGTTTTTTCTGGAGACAAAAGAATTCCCCCTTTTCCACTTGAGTAAAAGGCAACGTTTAAAAAAATACTAAAGTTTTAAAATTCATCTTTTAGTTATAAGTTGAAAACATTGTACAGCTTTATTACCTGTTAACTATGCATTTGGGGGGTTGGTACTACTGTTTTTCTATCAACCAACCCCAAATGAAACCACAGGAAGAAGTTGAGAACTTCAGCTCCTCTTGGTCCAGCTACCTTCTGGTTGCAGCTAGGTGTGGTCTCCCTCCAAACCAGATTAGAATCCTGAAGCTTTTCTCCCCTCAACTCACTTCATTAGATGGTGTTCTCTGGATAGAAAGGTGATGAATTTAGGGAAGCAAAATATCCCAATCGGTGTTTCTCAAACTTGAGAAATGCCTAAGTCCATTAATATTTTTTCATGGAACCTCAGTGTTGTTACAGCGTTACTGAAATGTGTACAAACGTTAAACTATGCTTACACAGTTTCTGTAGAACTATAAAACTTACCACAAACTGATGATTGTTTTGCTGAATCCAAGTTGCTGCTGATGACTTGAGTAGTGTTAGGATTGTGGCAGCGGTGGGACTCAGTGGGGGATGCCTGTGCCACAGTGCGTTGAGCGCTGTTCCCAGCCTCTCCTACTTCCCGTTGGGCGAGACTGCCCCAGAGCGACTGTGCCCCTGGTGCTGTGATGTCATTTGGCTTTCCTAGAACTGAACCACATTCACAAAGTCTGTTTTCTGCTTTATTAGCTTGTGACACTTGGAGCCAATGTGATGAATTCTGAAGCAGTTCTTGGCTAGAAGTTGCTAACGCTGTTGTGTTTTTTAAGATGATGACTAAGATGAAAATGTTTAGGCATTGTCAGAACTCAGGAGACTGCCAGCTTGAGAAACATGGTCCTGGTGGTTAAGAGCATAACCCCCGCCTCAGGACCCCAGCTCTGCTAGGTGTTGCTAGTGGGACCGTGGGCCAGTCCCTTGACTCTCTTGAATGTCAGTGTCCTTGTCTCTGAGATGGGAGCTCGCAGCACCTCCTGAAGGGGGCTGTTGTGAGAGTAAAATAAGATGCAGGTAAGATTCTCAGCTCAGCGCCTGCCATGAAGTCAGTGGGTGTTGAAGTCATGAATAAAAGAAGATTGAGGGTTTGAACAATATAATAGTCTTGGAGTGGGTTGTGGATAGCTTGTTTTTTTTTTTTCCTGCCTGTGGGTGCTGAAGAAGTCATGAATAAAAGAAGAAAGACTGTTATTGAATATAATAGTTTTTAAGTGGGTTTGGATAGCTTTAGATGGATGTGTCAGGGGGAAGGTAGCAGAATGAGGACTGTCAGCTGAGGGGTTTGACCACTGTCTTGTCGCTGTTCATCCATTCCAACTTGTGCACACAAGTGCTGTGCTTTGCTCTGAGCTATAGCATTGGGCAGAAAGTCTGCTGAAACAGGTGTTGCCTGATTTGTTTTACAAGAGCAATAGGTATGCCCTAGCAATTTGACATGAATAAGAGAAACATCTCCCCAGCCAACTTTTTAAAGTATATTCACATGGTTGTAGATAAACTTACCCAAGAAGAACTGAAAAATGACAGCCCAAAGGATGGATGGAAATGTCTCTTCTGAGGTAGTAGATTCTATCTAGCATGCATGGAAAAGGTTTGGAAAGCCACTGAGCTTTTGAGGTGAAGGCAAAACCTCTTCCTGTGAGCCACAAAGGGAGTGTCATGGCAGTTCTATTATTGAATATCTATGCATGGCCCTGAAGTTGGCCTAAATGTGACTCATGGTGTTAATGATTATCCCAGCGGTTATCTGAACTACTTGGTTCCACTGGGGCTGCAAGCAGTACCCCTGCAGAGGTGTCTCCAGAAAACAGCATGTTCCCCTTGCTCTTTGCGGCTGGGCTGGTGGTTCTGAATCTAGTGACTTCTGCTAGGAGCCAGAAGACAGAACCCCTAAGTGGCTCTGGGGAACAGCTGCTCTTCCACGGAGCTGATCGACATGACTTTGCCATCATGATCCTTCCAGGAGGCACAGAATGCTTTTGGCAATTTGCCCACCAGACTGGATACTTCTATTTCAGTTATGAGGTATGTGGGCTCCTCTGGCCATACTTGGGGCTTTTTTTTTGTTTTTTTCCTTTTGTAAAGTGGGTCAAGTTTTAGACCAAAACAAGTTCTGTTTGTCTGTATTATGTTGTGATTCCCCACGTGTTAATGGAAACTATAGCTAGATGGAAACAGATGAATAATCACCAACAGGAACTAAAACATATGGTTTGGCTTCTCAAATCGGGGGCTATAGAAGTGTGTTCAGAGCCATGGAAAACAGGATGCCTCTCCCTGGAGAGGTAATTGTCACATTTACTTGGATTTGGGGATGAGAGGGGAGAAATTACGTTTTTTAAATATTATAACAAGACAACATGAATATGGTACTTTGGAGACTGATCCAGAGATTTCAGAGAAAGCTGCTTCAGTTTATGGGTGTAGGGGAGCAACATCTGCTCTCCTGCCTTTAATGGTAACTCCAGCAAATTGGAGAGTCACTAGCTCAAGTTTTCTCTATTCAGGCAGACAATCCTATTTTTGGGGAAGGTCACGTGTTCATAGGTCAAGTACTTCTATCCATACTGTGGTCTTACACTACACTGCTCAAGGATGGTGAGCTCAATATTAAAGGCGTGTTCATTTCCTTTGTTCTTTATCGTAGAAACCTGTTAACTTTCTAATTTTTGTTTACATAGTAATAGACTATGTTGATTTTACTCTACTAAACTATAACTTAAAATTTATTTTAAATTAACTTATCAGAGCTTTTTCTTATCTCTGAATTTATATTAGAACAGTAGCTTCTAGTCAGCTCACTGTAGCCTGGGCTTATCAAGATCCAGCTTGGGAACGAGTGTTAACAGAGTGCCTGCTGCTGTAGGTCTGAGCTGCCAGGCAGCAAATGCCCAAATCTGGGATGCCACCAGGGAGCTCAACAACCAACTAAGTTCATTCAAGAACTCTACAGCCAGAATCACACATTTGATTCGGTCCACACCAGCTGTGGCGTCTGAGCAAGACATGACTTCTTTATCTGCAGTGGTGCTGTTAGCATTTCGAGCAATTCTTTGTTCTGTTCTACTGCTACTGACATTGAAGATGTTCAACTTTGCCGTGCCAACACCATCACTGTAACAACTAAGAATCCTCAATTCCAAATCCTGGGAGTTAGGCGGTACCAACCCAGATTGATATCCCATGCTGATGACTATGGGGTGTCACTCTTACCACTCAGCTGGCGTCTTAGTGACGTAGCAGGGTCTTTGTTCCCTCTTTGATGTGTCTTTGCAGGTTCAGCGGACAGTGGGAATGTCACATGACCGACATGTTGCTGCCACCGCACATACCCCACAGGGTTTCCTCATAGGCACCTCCCAGGATGTTCGGGGCCAGATTAACTTCCCTACCCAAGAGACAGGTCTGTTTTCATCACCCCAGCTATTATAATAATCATAGGTTTCTATGAAATTGGGAAATATTGAGGAAGAACATAGATATGGTGAAACAGTAGGAAAAAAAAAATCAGCCTTTAGCACCAAAAACCGGTGTTCCTGGAGACTGCTGATGTCTAAGGATGTCAAGCGTCAGTCCCCTGGCAGTTTGGGGTCAGGTCTCCAGCTGACCATTATAACTCTAGGGTTCAGCAGATCAATTTTATCTCATCATTTCCAACTGATCAGATTCTGGGAAAGTGACCAAAACAGAGACCCGTTTATAATACAGAATTCCAATTAATAAATTTATTACAAGGAAGCATTTCTTTCCAGTCATCAGAATAATTAAGCGAGTTACTAAAAGCAGATTCAGAACAAGAGAAAATACATGGCCACGTGAAAGATCCACCACAAAGCACTTCAGCAGCTAGAAAATTTCTACAGCAAAATCAAGCCTGTCCCACTTGGGACAGCACCAGTCAGTCTTATCTGCCCTCTTTACTAGCCAGGTATACTAAAAAAGACAGATTTTCTCAACAGGGGCATCAGACAATCCTGTGCCTTTCAATCATTTGGACTTTCAATAACTGCCACACCTTTCTAATGCCACCACCACCCAATCTTCCACCTCCCCCTACCCCCTCACACAAAGGGAGGCAACCCCACGTTGAGAGCCAGCTCGAGTCAGTAGACACCCCCAAACCATGAGTCACTGTACAGAACACCTTGCAGGCAATCACTCCAGCAGGACAGCTTCTTTCCTTCACAGTGAATGCATCAATTTTTTCCCTAGTTTCAAGTTCAAGGTGGTATCCCCAGCTCTAAAGGTAGACAAGGAGCAGGCAAACGCCATGCTCTTCATTTCAACTCAACCCGTTGAGCAGCAGTTTCTTAATAGGAGATGTGGGAATTACAGGTTGGAAAAGAGGGGAAAAAACGTTTTCTATCCAGTATGGAAAGAACTAAAGTTACTGAAATTTGGCAAAATAGAATCATTTTAAGTTAATATGTAATAAAAATAAGTTTCACATAACATCAGTGTCTTCCATGTAAAAAGTGGGATCTTTGTACTTTCTAAAAAGAAGCTGATGTAGTAGCAATTCTAAAACTGGAGAGTAGGTATCTCTAGAGGAATCTTAATAAAGGGTGGGGGACCAAAGACTTGCTAATGAGGTAGGCATTCTTACAGGTTATTATCAGCTTTGTCTAAAAAATCAGCAAAATCGCTTTGGTTCTGTGCAAGTGTATCTCAACTTTGGAGTCTTCTATGAGGGGCCTGAGATGGACCACGAACAGAATGAAAGAAAACAACTGAATGACACTCTGGATGCAATTGAGGTAACGGAGTGTGTTGTGTGGGAGAGAAACATCTGTAAAAACTGATTTTAAATGTGGAGGGAAGATCAAAATTTTGGGAGTAATTCCATTCGAGTGAGGGTTCATTTGGGTAGAAACCAAACAGGCAAGGGGATTTGAATTTTTTAATACATTTTTATGACTTGGAGATCTTGATATTTCGCACTTGTTTTATTCCGAGGGTTGGCAAACTATGGCTCATGGGCCAATGGGCCAAATGTGGTCCACTGCCTTTTTTTTTTAATTGATACATATCTTACACCATTTTAAAGTGGACACTTCAGTGGTTTTTAGTACATTCACAAAGTTGTGCAACCATCACCAGCATCTAATTCCAGAACAGCTTCATCACAGCCCCCAAAACCCCTGTACCTATTAGTCACCATTCCCCTATGACCCCCCCAGGCCTGGCAATCACTATTCTACTTCCTGTCTCTATAGATTTGCCTGTTCTGTACATTTCATATAAATGGAATCATACAATATATGGCCTTTTGTGTCTAGCTTCTTTCACTCTGCCTGTTTTCAAAGTTCATGCACACTGTTGTATATATTAGTACTTTATACTGTACACTTCAAAATGGTATATGGGCCAGGCATGGTGGCTCACGCCTGTAATACCAGTACTTCGGGAGGCTGAGGCGGGAGGGTCACTTGAGGTGGGAGGGTCACTTGAGGCCAGGAGTTTAAGACGAGCCTGGGCAACACAGCAAGACCCTCATCTCTACAAAAAAAATAGAATAAAATGGTACATGGTATATAAATTGTTTATCAGTTAAGAAAAAAGTATACAATTCCTTTATGTACTTTATTCCTTTTTATGGCTGAAAAATATTCTATCATATGGATACACATTTTACTTATTCATTTATCGGCTGATGGATATTTGGGTTGTTTCCACCTTTTGGCTCTCATAATGCTACTATGAACGTTTGCGTACAAGTTTCTGTGTTAACATGTTTTCATTTCTGTATACCTGGAACTGCTGAGTAACATGGTAACTGTTTAACTTTGTGAGGACCTGTCACTGTTCTCAGTGGCTAAACCATTTTAAATTCCCACTAGTAATGTATAAGCATTCTAATTTCTCCACATCCTCACCAACATTTGTTATTGACTTTTTTATTATAGCTAGCCTAGTGGTTGTGAAGTAAGTATCTTGTGGTTTTGAGCTGCATTTCCCTAGTGATTAATGACATTGAGGGATCTGTTCATGTGCTTATTGGCCATCTGTGTATCTTCTTTGGAGAAACGTCTATTCAAATCCTTTGCCCATTTTAAAATTGGGTTGCCTTATTGTTGTATTGTAGAAGTATTTACATATTCTGGATACAAGTCCCTTGTCAGACATGTAATTTTAAGATATTTTCTCCCATTCTGTGGGATGTCTTTTCACTTTGATAGTCTATACAATGCACAAAAGCTCACCGCCTGTTTTTGTAAGTGGAAGTTTTATTGGAATAGAGTCATGCTCATTTGACAATTATATATTGTCTATGGCTGCTTTTGTGCAGCAATGGCAGAGTTCAGTAGTAGAGACAGTATGGCCTGCAAAGCTTAAAAGTCTGCAGGCCCTTGTCTTCTGCCATATATAGAGACGAGTAGAAGAAATCATGTGCTGAGTACATGTCTACACCTAGAGATCTTTAGGAAGAACTGTCTAGTTTGAGCACTGAAGTTTTTCATTATAAAAAAATGTTTTAAAAAAAGTAAAGTCCATCCCAGCACCAATCAGAGGGTTTAAAAAAAAAACAATAAAGTCCAGACCGTTTTTCATATACAGCAAAACCAACATTCATCAACTGTAATAGTATTATATATCTTAAAATCTTATGAGCAAATTACTCAACTTCCAGACAACTTAGGTTAGTGCTGGTGAGCATCCAGGTGAGGGTGGATGACAGAAGAGGGGAAAAATCTCTTTATTTTCTCTCCCATAGCAGAGTACACGAACGGTACAGAACAATATCTTTCACATGTGGCGATACTACAACTTTGCCCGGATGAGGAAAATGGCCGACTTTTTCCTTCTCCAATCAAACTATAACTATGTGAACTGGTGGTCAACAGCCCAGAGCCTTGTAATTATTCTTTCTGGGATCCTGCAGCTGTATTTCTTGAAGCGTCTCTTCAATGTTCCAACAACTATAGATACAAAGCTCACGTGCTAAGCTAGGATGACGACAGCTCTTTTCTTCTTAGAAACCTAGCCAAAGCTGACAGAAGCTTTGTAAAGTTATGGGAAAAAATCAATTTCTCTTGTTAATATTTTCGTCTGTTGCACTCATCTACAAAGTGGCAATAAAATAACAATGTAAAAGTTCTGAGGTTGGCTATTTCTAAAGTACGTATTAAATGCTACCATCAAAATACTGTTCATCATAGTGCAGTCCCTTAACCTTCACTGAGTCTACTTAGGGGTTAACAGAAAACCTTAGAAGGAGAAGAGTTAAAAAAAGATGGGCCAAAATCAAGTTTGCTTGTATATAAAAGCAGGAGTTGGTAGAGTGCCTTTTTGCAGTTGAAAATGTTTTATTTTTAGAAATGTCACCTTTGGAATTAAAAATAAGCAGTATAAGGCTGGGCGTGGTGGCTCACGCTTGTAATCCTAGCTCTCTGGGAGGCTGAGGCGGGTGGATCATTTGAGCTCAGGAGTTCGAAACCAGCCTGAGCAAGAGCAAGACCCCGTCTCTACCAAAAATAGAAAGAAATTAATTGGACAGCTAAAAATACATAGAAAAAATTAGCCGGGCATGGTGGCACATGCCTATAAGTCCCAGCTACTTGGGAGGCTGAGGCAGTAGGATTGCTTGAGCCCAGGAGTTTGAGGTTGCTGTGAGCTAGGCTGATGCCACAGCACTCTAGTCCAGGCAACAGAGTGAGACTCGGTCTCCAAAAACAAAAAAGACACAGTATATTCATTAAGGAAATTGTTTTGTTTTACAATCCAGGTAGTCTTTAAAATTTCTGTCTATAAAATGTTATTAATTTTAAAAAATTATTATTTTAAAATAGTTTTGAGAAGCATAGGAAAGGGCAAAGAAGCTAAGTTTTTATTTCAGGGTCTCTTGTTTTTGGAGACAGAGTTTCACTCTGGCTAGTGTAGTGGCATCATCACAGCTCACTGCAACCTCAAACTCCTAGGCTGAAGCAATCCTCCTGTCTCAGCCTCCAGAGTAGCTGTGACTACAGGTGTGCTCCCCCATGCCCAGCTAATTTTTCTATTTTTTTTTTAGTAGAGACAGGGTCTCGCTCTTGCTCAGGCTGGTCTCCAACTCCTGAGCTCAAGCAATCCTCTGTCCTCAGCCTCCCAGAGTGCTAGGATTACAGGTGTGAGCCACCTTCACCCTGGTCGTTATTTCAGGGTCTCTGATTAGTGCTTTTAGTCCAGTCCAGTCAGGTAAGTAAAGGTGCATAAAAGAAATTATGTTTTATGAAATCAAAGTGAAGAAAAAAACATTTCGGCCTGGGATCATCCCATCCCAGAAAAAGACTGAGAAAACAGTTTATAAAAAACAAGATCATATAATCAAATTACATTCATAAGACTCAACACTTTGTAATAGAAATACATAATATACGCAATATAAAAATAATCCTTACCATTTATTCGACACCTATCATTTCCCAGGCACTGTGCTAGATGCTTTACAATCATGATTTCCAATTCCAAAAACCATTCTTAGGTAGATAGCTAAAGCTGTATTTTTAGTTCTGTGTTTTTTAAAACAGAAGAAAAAATGAAGCTTATTAAAGCTGAATGACTCATCCAAGGCCATACAGCTGGTAGGTGGCAGAACTGGGGTTTGAACCACACCACACAGCACTTACTGTATAGAAAAATAGCTGAATGAATTGCTGTTACTATTTTAGACAAATTTTCATTTGTAAAATCCCAGACATGGCCTACTAGTCTGATATGACAATATGTATCTTTCATGATATTAATAAATAACAGAGAAAATCCATTGTGTTCTTATCATGAGTTTGGAAAACAAAGTGTTATCACAGATAACAATTATAAGTTGCTATCCTCCTCAGTTCCAAAGATTCAGAATCTGTTAGTCAGAACAGGAAGCCCTCTGATTCAAATATAAAACTAGTATACTAGTCACAAACACAAAGATCTGAAACTCCATTTTGGAGCCATTTCTGATAATAAGAATCCAGCCTGCATTTGTCAGTGATAGAGTATTAAACTAAGAAGTCCCTGAAGACGTCACAGTGTTGACAAAATTCAGCATGCTGGTGGAGTCTACACAAACACAGGAAACAAACCTCAGCCCTTCCACACAGCCCAGCTGTAAACTCCTTGCGGTGATTTCTTTCTAAGTCAATGTTTCTTCGTGCCGCACGTATTCCCCGATGTCTGCTTGATGAAAGACCACAATTGCCATAGGGTCTACTTTCCTGCAGTCTTGTGTAGATTTTGCTGCCACCCCAAAACCCTGGGATTCAAAAGAAGAGACACTCAAGTCATTCAATATACCCATGCCGAGGGCATAACAAAGATTAAAAAAAAATTATACTTCTTGTCTTTGAGGAATTCAAAAGGTGCTGAGAATTTAGTCTCGCAAGCACACAGATTGAAAATATATCTTTCTTGAATCAAAAAGTCCTTGCTTTTTGTAATAGCTAACATCTCTACTCACCAAAGGGATGTCTGCCATGGAGTACACCACCACTCCCTGGTACTGAGAAGTATTTTCGGTGATTCGACCCAGACCAGATTTCAACACATGGTTCCCATACAGGAAGGATTGCTCTGCTCCAGGCTTTATCCACACTTTATACTATAAGAAGGAGAATTAAAATCCAAGAGACACAAAAATGATAATAGTTATATCCCTGCAAATAAGCTAGCTGCTGGATTTTTGATTTATTTCTTGGAAGAATATTAAGGAAAAAGAGAGAGAGATGCATGTTTCCTTCAAACTTTTCATCTCCTAAACAGATCTGCCAGGAAGCTCTTTCCTGAACTCTACAAGCAACTTCTTCCATGGACAGTTTAACAGTTGTTTTTCTGGACCCCAGTATCCTCCTCATCACAGCCACGTATTTGCATTTTGCTTGAGCTGGTCTGCACAGGCTTTTCTACTGTGCTGATGATAACTACAACTACACAGCTGCACGGCACTCCTATCCCATGCCCAAGCAGGCCCAAGACCTCCGAAAATTTCCATGTGTTGACACTATCCCGAGCACTGTCAGGGGCTTCGTGGAAGAAAAGCCAACCAATAACGTGCGTTCTGATGGGGCCCTCATCCTTGACTTCATCTCCAGTGGCAAAATGGAAACCGCCCTACAAACCTTGGCATAGGGTGCAAGGTAATCCAGAGCTGTGATGTGCAACCGAAACTTGTGGGTCTTGGTGAATTTTCCGAAGCAGGTCCCCAGAGACAGCAGCTTGTCCCCGGAGACATTGGCAGCCAGCTTCAGGATCTTCTCACTAAAGGGTTAAGGGGAAGGAAGGTTGCAAATGAGGGAGGCTGGTGGGACCCATATGCCCACCCGGGTGCATGCTGCCTCCCCGGCCCCGCCTCACCTCACGTAGTACACCCGGTCGTTGTGCAGCCTAAAACAGTAGGTGCCGTCCGGCCTGTCGACCAGCAGCTGAAGATTCTCCCCGATGCTGAGGGCAAAAGGAGGACCGGGGGCCGCATCTGAATGGACTCGTCCCGACACCGCGACCCCACTCTACCCCTCCCACCACACATCCCCTCCTCCGCCCCGCGCGCTCCTACTATTTCGCGATCTTCTCAAACATTACACGGGTTTCCTCTTCAGTCAAAGGCCGCATTTTCCTGCTGGGTTGGAGCACCGTACCCTCGTGCCTCGGAAACCGGAAACGGAAGTCGGCCGCCAGCTATTCCCTGGCAACCCCAAAGCCTGCCTTTCTAGCCCCATTGCCGTCGTTCCTCACGCTAGCGCCGCACAGCCTGGAGGACCTCCAGAGAAAGAAAACCGGCCGGATGAGAAACCATAGAGAGCGGAAATGGGCCCCAGCTTCTTCCGGTCCTAGGTTCCAAGCCAGCGCCCTCGCCGGTTCGGAGGGGAAGTGACGCTGCTGCTGGGAAGATGGCTGCGGCGGCTACTGTCCCAACCCCAGTCACGGCCTCGGCCACTGCGACGGCCACGGTAGCGGCTCTCGGGGAAGTGGAGGATGAAGGGCTCCTGGCTTCGCTGTTCCGGGACCGCTTCCCCGAGGCTCAGTGGCGAGAGCGGCCCGATGTGGGCCGCTACCTCCGGGAGTTGAGCGGCTCCGGGCTGGAGAGGCTGCGGCGCGAGCCCGAGCGCCTGGCGGAGGAGCGGGCGCAGCTGCTGCAGCAGACGCGCGATTTGGCCTTCGCCAACTACAAGACCTTCATCCGCGGCGCCGAGTGCACCGAGCGCATCCACCGCCTCTTTGGCGACGTGGAGGCGTCACTCGGCCGCCTGCTCGACCGCTTGCCCAGTTTCCAGCAGAGCTGCAGGTGCGGCGGGCCTGGCATTAAAGGGGCTTTTAACTGTAATAGTTGACATTTACGATAATAGAAATAGCTATCACTTATATAGCGGTTGTCGTTTGCCAGGCTCTTTGCTGAGCGCTTTATTTATCCATTTAAACCTCACAACAGCCTTTCGAGGTAGGTACTGTTACTCCCATTTTGTACATGAGGAAGTTCAGACACAGAAAGGGTTAGTGACTTGTCCAAGGACGCAGCTAGCAAGTTTCAAAGTCGGAATTGGAACCCAGGAGCACACCCCTCCCTCGTAGGGCTGTTGTGAGTACTAAATAAAGAGGATCCATGCAAAGCACTTATCCTCGGGTCTGACATAGTTAACACTCTATGAATGTCAGCTTAATATATGTGCACATTCATCTGGAGGTCATCTACTCCAAAACTTTATTTAATGGGAAGCTAATAAGGAAATCATCCCGTTTGGGGGCATCAAAGATTATCAAAAAGTCTGCTTGTTCTTCCTGCCTAGATCCTTAGTCCATTATCTCTAGTTATGCCTTCCAGCCTTTTTTTTTTTTTTGAGACAGAGTCTCACTCTGTTGCCCCAGCTAGAGCACAGTGGGGTCATCATAGCTCACTGCAACCTGAAACTCCTGGGCTCAAGCGATCCTCCTGCCTCAGCCTCCTGGGTAGCTGGGATTACAGACCCGTGCCACCACACCTGGCTAATTTTTTCTATTTTTGGTGGAGCCGGGGCCTCGCTCAGGCTGGTCTCGAACTCCTGACCTCAAGAGATCCTCCTGCCTTGGCCCTTCCAGCCTTTCTTGATTAAAGTTTAAATTTTTTTTTTTTTTGAGACTTTGAATATTTGACAACAGCTTTTGTATCCTTCCATGCCCCAGATAGGGGACTTGATAAAGCAGGTTTCTGCAATTATAGAGAAGAAACAGAGAAAGTCGACTGTGGCAGGAACTAAGAATGAACAATAGAATGGAAGACTGAGACCTGAGGGAACGTGGGGTAAGCTTGGGGCTTCTAGGCTAATAGCTTTTATTAAAAGAACATTTTACTCTGTGTCTCTTTTACTCTTTACTCTGACACTTTACTCTGTCAGATTCTATGTTAAGTGCTTCACATACATCATCTCATTTAATTCTCACCCCCTTATAAGGTGGGTCCTATTACTATTTTACCAATGAGGAAACAGTTTCAGAGATGCTAAGTACCACAGCTAGAAAAAGTGGCAGATCTGCATTCAGATCTATCGATGATTTATTAGTTGTGCGTTTTTAGACAAGTAGCTTGACCTCTCTGGGATTAAAAATTTCCTCAAGTATTTAGTACTTGCCTCATAAATATGGTGTGAGGATTAAATCAGATCATCCAGCCCAGTGCCCAGCTCATAGTGTGCTTGGTAACCGTAGCTAAGGTTTGGGCACAGGGCAGTGAGGGACCAACGTTCTCCTGATTGTTACTAGGAACTTTGTGACGGAAGCAGAGGAGATCAGCACCAACCGACGGATGAACACCCTGACACTAAATCGGCACACAGAAATCCTGGAAATACTGGAGATTCCTCAACTAATGGACACTTGCGTCCGGAACAGCTATTATGAAGAGGCCCTGGAGCTTGCAGCTTATGTACGCCGACTGGAAAGGAAATACTCTTCCATCCCTGTCATTCAGGTAACCACCTTACCCAGAGAGGACTCAAAGTGATGTTCTTATGGGCATTTATTCTGTGGTCAGGACTGAACCTTCAGGTAGAAACTATTGCATGTTTCATATCAATTTCTGCCAGCAAGGAAGGTCTGAACATAAAGCATTCATTCATTCATCTCAAAGACATGTATTAATCATGTGCCAAGTACTGTTCTAAGTGCTCGGGATACAGTGTGAACAAAGCAGACAAGGCCCTAGCTTTCATGAAGCTTACTTGCTAGTGGGAAGTCTGATGATTGGCAAATAAATAAATAATAGGATCATTTCAGATAGTGGTGAGTATCTGAAGAAAATAAACGAGGGAATGCAGTAGAGGGAGACTAGGGTAGGTTTCTTTAGGTAGAGGGATCAGGAAAGGCCTTTCTGGAGAGGTAACATTTAAGCTGAGACCTAAATAATGAGAAAGACTCAGCCACACAAGGACCTGGGGAAAGAGCAAACCAGAAAGTGGGAAGAACAAGTGCAGAGGGCTGAGGTGGGAAGAAGTTGGAGTGTTTAAGGGATGCAAAGACAGCCAGTGTGACTGGATCGTAGTGAGCACTGGGAGAGCATTAGGAAGCAGCTGAAGCTGGAGAACCAGGCAGGGCCTGTTGGCCATGGTGAGTAGTTGGAGTTTTATTGATCTCAGTGGGAAGTCATTGGAGGGTTTTAAGCAAGAGAACTACCCAACTGGCCTGGTGCAGTGGTGAGTGCCTATAGTCCCAGCTACTTGGGAGGCTGAAGTGGGAGGATCAGTTGAGCCCAGGGGTTCCAGTTCAATCTGGGCAACAGAGTGAGACCCTGTCTCTTAAAAAATAAATAAATAAAAAGAATTAAAAAATAAATAAAAGAGTTAGCCAAGCAGATCTTTGTTGGTGAACCTGAAAGCATCAGCTTTAGGAAATCTACTTTGTATTTCCGAAAAGCCATGGGAATGTTGGTCTGTAATGTTCAGGGCTAGAGGAATGGGTTCCAGAGTGTCTTTCCCAGTGCAGTGTGACGCACTCCTTGTGTTGTCAGGGCATCGTGAACGAAGTGCGCCAGTCCATGCAGCTGATGCTGAGCCAGCTGATCCAGCAACTGAGGACCAACGTCCAGCTTCCCGCCTGCCTCCGTGTCATTGGCTACCTGCGGCGCATGGATGTCTTCACCGAGGCAGAGCTGAGAGTGAAGTTTCTTCAGGCCCGAGATGCTTGGCTCCGTTCCATCCTGACTGCCATCCCTAACGATGATCCCTATTTCCATATCACAAAAACCATCGAGGCCTGCCGTGTCCACCTCTTCGATATCATCACCCAGTATCGTGCCATCTTCTCAGACGAGGACCCACTGCTGCCCCCTGCAGTGGGTGAGCACACCGTGAATGAGAGTGCCATCTTCCATGGCTGGGTGCTACAGAAAGTCTCACAGTTCCTGCAGGTTCTGGAGACCGACCTTTACCGGGGGATAGGCAGCCGCCTGGACTCTCTGCTGGGCCAGTGCATGTACTTTGGGCTGTCCTTCAGCCGGGTCGGGGCTGATTTCCGGGGCCAGTTAGCGCCCATTTTCCAGCGGGTGGCCATCAGCACTTTCCAGAAAGCAATTCAGGAAGCAGTGGAGAAATTCCAGGATGAAATGAACTCCTACACCCTCATCTCAGCTCCAGCCATCCTGGGCGGCAGTACCATGCCTGCTGCTGTGCCAGCCACCCAGCCAGGGACGCTGCAGCCGCCAATGGTGCTCTTAGACTTCCCACCCCTTGCCTGCTTCCTCAACAATATTCTGGTTGCCTTCAATGATCTGCGCCTCTGCTGCCCCGTGGCCCTGGCGCAGGATGTGACTGGGACCTTGGAAGATGCCCTTGCCAAGGTGAGTGCACTCTGGACTTTCTACTACCCTAGGCCTTCTTTGGTAACAGGCAGCCAGACTTTTATAATAAGCCAGTCCATATGACAGTGGTGCCTGCTGACTTGGAGAGATTTAGTGTGGTTCTAGGGATTTCTCTGGTTAGTCCTCCCTTCGTGGGACCTAAAATGATTGACGAAGTGGCTCACCTGTAGTAACAATTCAGTAACGTATTAGTTTTCTATTGCTGCATAACAAATTCCCACAAACTTAGCAGCTTACAACAATACATGCATTATCTCCCAGTTTCTGTGGGTCAGGACTCCAGGCACAGCACAGCTGGGTCCTCTGCCTAGGGTCTTACAGTACTGCAGTCAAAGTGCTGGCCGAGCTGGTCTCACCTAGAGCCTGGGGCTCCCTTTCAGAACCATTCAGGTTGGCAGGTTTTGGTTCCTTGCAGTTGCAGAACTGAGGTCCTCAGCTCCTAGAGGCCATGCCCTCCATAGGCAGTTCACAACAAGGCTGTTTGCTTCCTCAAGGCCCCGGGAGAGCATTTCTCCTGCTCCAGTCTCTTAAGTACTTTCTTTTAAAAGATTCCTCTGATTCAGTCAGACTCATCCAGGATAATCTCCCTTGGATTAATTCAGTCAACTGATTAGGACTTTAATTACATCTGCAAAATCCTTCACGTTTGCCATATTCTGTTAGTTAGAAGCAAGTCTCAGATTCTGCCCACACTCAAGGAAAGAGGATTAAACACAGGAGTGGATACTGGGGGTGGGAATCATGAGAGCCATCTTGGAATTCTGCCTGACCCGAGTAATAACAACAGAACTAATATCCTAGTATGGTGCACAGTTTTTACACATTTAAATCCTTAGGTATTGGGATGATGCTTCCTATAATTAATGGCACCTTATAATTGCTGTCAGTCAGGTGGTAGTTGTGACTTGTATAAAATCTTTCTATTGGTGTCCTCCTGTTACAGCAAGAAAGCATGACATTGAAGCTTTTTAGTCAATGAAATTCACATAATAGTAATCAGCAAACATTTATAGAGCGCTTACTCCATGCTAGGTAGCATTCATCATACTTTATACATGTTAGACTTGATCCTTACAACCCTGTGAGTTAGATCCTATTTCTGGCTCTGCTTCATAGATGAGGAACCTGAGGCATAAAGGGCACAGAGTGAGTGCTTAACTAATCACTTGGAAGTCACAAAACCAAGTACACAGCTGGGACTTGAACCCACGAAGTCTGTTTTCTTAATCCTGAATCTTTTGTTCTTAACCCTGTCACTGTGCCATCTGTAATGTCAGCTAGGCTGCTCTATTGTTTGTTTATGGAACCTCTCTTTTATAGCTGTTTTCTTCTTGTACAAATTTCTAGTAGTTCTAGCTTTCCAGAGCCTCAAAGGCCTTACTCAGTAGAACCCTTTTATAGTTTTGCTTCATTTTCCTGGATCCAACACAGTTCTGGTTGATCCCCCATGGGAGTCAAGAACTATGTATTTCTGTAGAATTTCATGATGCTCCTCCACTGGAACTGGAAAGTACACCAGTAATGATACAAGCTGGGTCAGAAATACATCAGTGAAGTGGAGATTGACTGCAATTCCGAGTTTAAATAAGATAGTAATATAATGTACTGTTTGAAATTGCTTTCTTCATGAAAACTTGAGGCCTGCACGATTTTGCTTAGTCTCATGCACTGCTGTTGCTGATAGACTGCCCCAGATATTGACGGTGGTGCCCTTGTCTCTTAGGTAACCAAAATAATCCTGGCCTTCCATCGCGCTGAAGAGGCTGCCTTCACCAGTGGGGAGCAAGAGCTCTTTGTCCAGTTCTGCACTGTCTTTCTGGAAGACCTTGTTCCTTATTTAAATCGCTGTCTCCAAGTCCTTTTTCCACCAGCTCAGATAGCACAGACTTTAGGTAAGAAAAAGGAGAAAGGATTTTTAAAAAACTGCTTTACCTATCTGGGCGTGGCGGCATGGGTCTGTAGTCCCAGCTACTTGGGAGGCTGAGGCAGGAGGATCCTTTGAGCCCAGGAGTTTGAGGTTGCTGTGAGCTAGGGCAATGCCACGGCACTGTAGCCTGGGCAACAGAGCGATACTCTTGTCTCAAAAACAAAAAAGACAAAAAAACCCTGCTTTATTGTTATCTGATTCATATACTAAATAATTTGCTCATTTGTATAAGTCAGTGTTTTTAGTAAACCATCACCACCATCCAATTTTAAAACATTTCCATCACTCCAAAAAGATCTGCCCCATGACCATTGTAGTCATTTCTCTAGAGCATCCTTAGCCCCTGGCAGCCTACTTTCAGTTACTATACATTTGCCTTTTCTGGACATTTCATATAAATGGAATCGTACAATAAGTGGCTATATCTGGCTAAGTGGAAGAAGCCAGTCACAAAAGAACTACATGTTGTATGATTCCATTTATATGAAACATCCAGAGAAGGGGTTTCTAAAATATTTTTTCCAATTTGCTTTCACTTCCCTGTGTCCCTAGTGATGGGAGTGGGGGTGCGGGAAACAATTTCCTAAAAGGCAGTGGGTCAGTGACCACACCTGCCAAGAGTGGCTGCCCTCAGCGTGGCCCCAGCTTTTCCCTTGGGTCTGTCACAGGGAAGCCGGTGCTTACTGAGGTTCTCTTGGCTCTTGCTCCATCCCCCCTACACTGTGCTGCTCCAGATTGCCTTCCTGGTCTTGCTTTACAATATAGCTTCCTGTTCCATATCACAAGCACGGTTTTTGCTGTATTGAGTATAGTAATTGTTTGTGTTCGTCTTTCTAAGTGTTTTTTCCTGTGACCTCTATATTGAATTTTATTAACTTTTTTCCCCTTTTGCTTTCCCTGTCATCTGTGCAGGCATTCCACCCACTCAGCTCTCCAAATACGGAGACCTTGGGCATGTGAACATGAGCGTCGTGCAGGAGCCGCTCGCCTTTATCCTGCCAAAGAAAGAAGCGGTCTTCCCTCTAGATGAAAAGGAGCTAGTGCCTGAGCTCACCCCGCCAGCACTGGAGCTTCCAGGCGAGGAGCCCAGCCTCGAACCTGTCCCCCCAGCCTGCCCCGAGAGTGGGCAACAGGAGGTGGAATCAGCGGAGCCCCCGCAGGGGGAGCCGCCTGCTGTGGGGACTTAGTGGGACCTATGCAGCACCCAGTGCACGGGCGGCGGGACGGGCAGGCAGGTCTGCGGGGAAGGAGAGCGGCGGGGTGGGGGCCGCCGCGCCCAGCAGTGCACGGGGCAGGCTCCGAGAGGGTGCGAAGGTGGTGGTGGGAGATGACGGGCGGCTGAGGGGGACCCATGTACATGGTGGAGCTAAACAATAAAACTGCTCGACTGTCACTGCCCGGCCCCTTGCCCTCGCCGGCGGCTCCCGGAGGGCACGGGCCGCGCTTCCCGTCGTCCCCCGCGGTTGGGGCGGGGCCAGGCCGGTTCCGCTCGCGCGCGCCATGGGCCGGCTGTGGGGCGCGCTGCTGCTGCGGGTACGTGGGAGCGCCGGGCCAGCCCTGCTGTGGAAAGAGGGGGCGGGGGCCGGGGGTGTCCGGGCCTGCAGCTCCACGGCCGCCCCGGACGGCCTCGAGGGCCCGGCGCGCCGGCGCTCCTACTGGCGCTACGTGAGGCGCCTGGTGCGGGGGGCGCCGCGGCCGCCGTACATGCAGGTGTGCCAAGTCGGGGACCCAGTGCTGCGCACCGTTGCGGCCCCGGTGGAGCCGGCACAGCTGGCGGGGCCCGAGCTGCAGCGGCTGGTTCAGCGGCTGGTGCAGGTGATGCGGCGCCGGCAGTGCGTGGGGCTGAGCGCGCCGCAGCTCGGGGTGCCGCTGCAGGTGCTGGCCCTGGAGCTCCCCGAGGCGCTCTGCCGCGCCTGCGCCCCGCGCCTGCGCGAGCTGCGTCAGATGGAGCCCTTCCCCCTGCGCGTGTTCCTGAACCCCAGCCTGCGGGTGCTGGACAGCCGCCTGGTCACCTTCCCCGAGGGCTGCGAGAGCGTCGCCGGCTTCCTGGCCTGGGTGCCCCGCTTCCAGGCCGTACAGATCTCAGGTGCGAGGGCCTGGGCGGCTGGGTAACCGCGTGCGTGTCTTGTCGCCTGTGGAGGCGGTGGCCTCGGTGTTGACGAAACAGTTCCCGCCCAGCTCCAGTGAAAGTGCAGACTTGATCAGAGAGCCTCCCGCGGGAGCAAAGCAGGACCCGGGAGTAGACAGGACTCAGGACTGGCAGAGGCTCCTGTGAGAGCAGAGCCTGCGCGGATGGGGGCGGAGCTGGGGGTATGGAGTGCGGGCTGGGAATGTGCCCTAATTCCTGTTACCTCACACGCTGGCCTCTATTTCTGCTCTCTTGCTCCCTCTCTGCCCCTCTGACTCAGTCTATCTCAGACACACACACACACTTTTCTGCCCCAATTAGATCTGTCACAATGGGGTTGGAGAAGTGGCACCCGGCCTTGCCCACCCACGGGGATAAGGCATTCCCCGTCTGTCATACCACAGGATGCTTTACAGAATGTGATTCTCTGCTGGAGTTGCGATGATTGTTCCTCCAGAGCAAGCCACATGGTCCAAGAGGGTCAGAAAGTCAGTGGGTGGTGTCCCAAGCTGAAATACCTTAGTTAGGAATTGAAAGCCAATAGCAACACCTCACAGTGGGAGGAGTGTTCAGAAGGGAAGCACCTTAAGAAGATAATTTCTCATCTCTCAGCCCCATAGTAAGCCCAATAACCTAATTATTCAGGTCGGGAACCAGGTTGAATACTTGGTAATGGGCAGAGTTGAGGAAACTTTCCTAGGAAGGAGAGGACCTGCTGTCTACACTCACTTTCTGCTGTTGCCTCTTGTAAATGGGCAGAGCCGTGGTGGGGGCAGGGAAAAGAGGAAGGAGGTTGAGAATGATGCAGTTGAGCTGTCCCCACTCACCCAGGCTGTACCTTCCTTTATAGGGCTGGACCCCAGAGGAGAGCAGGTGGTGTGGCAGGCGAGTGGCTGGGCAGCCCGCATCATCCAGCACGAGATGGACCACTTGCAGGGCTGCCTGTTCATTGACAAAATGGACAGCAGGACATTCACAAACATCCACTGGATGGAGGTGAATGACTGAAGCTTTCCTGTTGGGGCCGAGGAGTCTGAAGACCGGGAAGCAAACAGGCATTGAGCTGGGTATGTCTTACTTGGCATCAGCTTGGTATTGGCTTGGATCTGACAGGAAGTTGTGGTCTGCCAAAGCGTGCCAAACTGAGCTAGAGGAATACATTAGAAATGTTTGCCCGAAATCAGCCTGTGGACAAAATATTGCCTACAAGAAAAATACCCCCTGCCCCCAAAGGAATGGACATTTCCTCACAGTTTTGTGTGGAGATAAATGGGGCAAGTAAGTTCATTCTCAGTAGAAATGAGTTCATAAGACCTGTATCATCTACTCCCAAAGCCAAGATTTGGTAATAATGTAGTCCCCAAATCTCTGAAAGCTGTGTTTAAAAATGCAGGTAAGGCTGTGGTTGACTGTCTTCTCAGAGTTCTTATTTTTACAGAGGGCTTGTGTGTATGTGTCCTTGTTTTGCCTTGGATGCCAGTTTGCTCATTGAAGTGAAACAGAAGAGTGGTCCCAGCTCAAGGAAGTGTTTAATGATAGCATTACCATGAGTAAGTACCCACACATCTTAACAGGTTCATATATAGTTTAGGTCTCCACCTTTTTTCCTTTCACCTTTTACAAACCTGGGGAAGATTTTGCTGTGGAGATCTCTTGGGAAGCTGGTACTTGGCTCATTCTTTGGGTGGAGGCCATGGAGCAGGGTTGTGAGAGGGAATGATAATTGAAAGGAGCAATGAGCCCCTTCCTGTCACAATTAGGACAGAAACAGCAGAACTGGTGCTTCCTGGTCACGATACCACACTTATTATGGAAAACTAAATTAGCATCATGCTGACCAGTGTTTAGCTTTAAGAAACTGTCAGAGCTTTGTCAAGAGGCAAAGGAACTCCAGTTTTAGATAAATTGTCTTACCTCATTTTTGGGTTTTGCAAAGTAGGTACTCTTGCCAGGCAGAGTGCCCAAAATCATAGTATACAAGTAGTAGGAAGTCCAGTAAGTTGTGTAGAGAAAAAGTGTTTTAAGTGGCAGTTAATTAAACAAAGCCAGGAAAGACCCATCCTCCCCTATAGCTTTCTCTGGGGGGCCCATGAGGCCAAGCAGAAGCAAATTGGCTCTAGGTGCAGTCAGACTTTGAGAAAATCACCACCAAGGTCAGAGACTCAGCCATTAGGGAATTTTGTAGAAAGCTCTTATTTATGCTGGAAACATGGGTCTTTATGAAAATTAGAATCCAGTGAGCCTCCTTTCAGTTGGACAACGTTCAGAAACTCCTGCAGGGCGATATCCTGATGCCTCCTTATTGTCTTCTGAGGTTAATGACTTTGTGATGTAGATCAGTAGCAACAAATCCTTGCATTTCCATTAAAGAAAATGTCTTCTGGCCAGGCGGGGTGGCTCACGCCTGTAATCCTGGCACTCTGGGAGGCCAAGGTGGGCGGATCGTTTGAGCTCAGGAGTTCGAGACCAGCCTGATCAAGAGCGAAACCCCGTCTCTACTAAAAAAATAGAAAGAAATTGGCTGGACAACTAAAAATATATAGAAAAAATTAGCCGGGCATGGTGGTGCATG